GGGGTCTTGAAGTTGCCCTTGGGCAGAGGATGGGAAAGGCACAGAACCCACTTACTCAGTCTTTCCTACCAGTGAGATTTATTGTATTTTCATTGAAATCATACAAACCATTTCTAAATTTGCATACACACATGCACACATATTAGCCCATGCAAGCTTTATGCACGTATCTGTTCTTCTGGCCACCAAGGATGCATTAAAAACATCCTTTTCAGGAGCTGCACCTCCCAGGCTGGATGGGCCAATGGTTACTGTTTGGGGGCAGGATGGAAATGCCCCCCTGAATGTGCTTATACTTGCATTTGCTGTGTTTATGCGCTGGGTTATTAGAGGTATATTCTGGCATTTTTTCCTGCAAGGAACCCAAGGGAACATACACAATCCTCTTCCTCACTCACTCCATCTGATCTTCACAACAGCCCTGCAAGGTAGGCTAGGCTCAGAGTCTGTGACTGCACCAAAGACCTGATGAGGCAAGCCAGTGTTTTTATCCACATCCCTCAGATGGGTACTGAAGCCTCGTGGTTTGTTTAAGCTACCACCGGCATCACTCTGGGTTAATGGCTTGGGTAAGGTGTGCTCGGGGTGCTTCCCAGTTTCAGCAACTGGGCCACACTAAGCTAAGTTTCTGGTGTGTAGCTTCTCCTGAGATGTGGAGCATCTGAACAGAGCATTCATTTTGCTTATTGAATACATATTAATAAAAGGGAAGGGTATTAAACCTTCATATGATTTAATGCAATTTTGGATGAGAGACAGAAAGCACAGAAGAAGAAAAGGAGAGGAGAGGTATAGGTAGATACAAATAAATGATTATCATGTGGCCAAAGGTCCCAGGGTGTAGGTGCACCTTTTATGTTCAATATTATGTAATTTGTTTTGATTGATTTATATGATTCAATTTATTTGTAATGTACTTTCCCCTTTTAATTTTAATTTTTGTTTTTATTGATGTAACTTTGCCTTGTCTTGTATTGTCTGTGTAATGTTATTAAGTTAGTTAATAAAAATTATGTCAAAAAAATAAAAAAGCCCAAACGGAGCATGCATGAAGGTTCTGATTTGTCAGGGCTATCACTGCAGATTGGTTCATGCATTCATTCCTGAAAAATGGTGCCATCAAACAAAAAACATAAAGAAGGGGATGTTCAAACAACAAAAGTAGAACTTTTTAATGTCTCATGCCTGACGTTTCATTTCATTTCAATACCATCCAATAACTGAAGACCTCTGGGTAGTTCACAGTAGGTACAATAATAGAATAATTTAATACAATTTGAGCATAATACAGCCTAAAATTCCAATATACAAAATTAAAAACAGTTTTAGCAACTGAAACCATTTCAAAATGTCGGACATGCGCCATGTCGCTTTTTGTCTGAGTCATTAGTGCCAGCCACTTGTTACACGGACAAAGTAAACTCCTTTCTCTCACTAACTGTGCTGAGGAAACTGTTGTGCATTGATCTCAGCCTTTCAGGCTTGCAAAACGTCGGGCTGGTGAATATTCCTCATCTGGCCGCAGAGCTTCCTTGGATTTTCCCCAGCTGACCAGGCTTGGCTTTTGACCCAACCGCCTTGTGGGTCCCCATGGATGAATCCCCCTTGCTGTCTCCCTCCCAAAAGCTGCTCTTTGCATGACAGCTGAGCCCCTCCACATGGAGTTCCCACGCTCTCCGTGGAAGCCATGGACTTGCCAGTGCTGGGTGGAGGGGCCATTCCCCCAAGCAACACTGGACCTTCTTCCCAGTTCAGTGTGGAGTGAATATAAGAGAGTCTGGATGACTTTCCCTAATGTTGACTAGAAATCAGAATTAAACATTTCAATTATTCAGGTACACATGACTTCCCAGGAGCAATAGAAACTAATGTTTTTTTCCAGCAGTGTGTGAGTTTTCTTTCTGGGGCTGTTCCTGGCCCCATTAATCATATACTTATTGATGTGAGGGAAGCCAACAAGGCTAATTAGGTGACCAGGGTTACTTTTATCCCTTGAAACTTCTATTTAAAATACACAGCGATCAAGCTCACTCCATTTCTTCCTCCCAGAGTCTGCTTTTTAAACCCTCTTAATTCATAGCACCTAATTATATAACGTATGTTTAAAGATGTATGTGTGTTTAGATTAATCTTCCAGGGAAGTCTAAATGTCACATCAATGTTACATGGGTCCTTGCAAAGAAAATTGAACAGGTTCCTACAAAAGCTTCCC